GGTGCTCGAGAACTTCGTGGGCCGGTGAGTACCGGCGGGCACCGTTACCGGCGGCCGGTACCGGCGGGGACGGCGCCGGGGGCCTTTACGCCGCTGGCGTAAGCGCGGCTTCGGGAATCCGGCCGAGCGCAGGGCGCGGCCTGAAGGGGACCGTGCGCCGCCGCTACGCAAAGTGCGCAGCGAGCCGCCGGGGCCGTACGCACTTGGCGTAGCGCGCGGGCAGAGCCGGACCCTTACGCTAACGGCGTAGTAGGGTTATGGTGCGGGCACCGGACCCTTACGCCAATGGCGTGGGTAGGGGCATGGTGCGGGCACCGGACCCTTACGCCAACGGCGTAGGTAGGGGTATGGTGCGGGTACCGGACTCTTACGCTAACAGCGTAGGTAGGGGAATGGTGCGGGTACCGGTGGGGGAACCGGGATGCAGGAGCGGAGCATCCCGCACCGTTCCTGGCCCCCCATCACCGCCGTTAACCCGGGTTAACAGCGTGGAGCCGGCTGATAGCGCCGGGCTGCGGTGGGGCCCTGTGCCCCCGAGATAGGGGCCGAGCCGCAGGGTGACAGCGGGCTGGGCACTGATAACGGGGGCAGCGGAGCTGGTTCCACCCCGCCGAGGTCAGTGGGATCCATGGGGCAAGGAGCTGGATTCCTGCAGCTCCAGGGCTCCTCCGTTCCCATCCCGGATGCTGGAATGGGAACAATAGGCAACTTCCTGTGCTGTCATCCCAGCCTGGCTTGTCACCGCCCTGGCAACACCTTTGCATCCCAAAGAAGCTATTCCAGGCGGGAATTCCATCCCATTCCAGGCTGTTTATATCCTCATGCAGGGGGGGCTTCAGATATCCAAGTTATTCCCCTTCCCTTTGGGAGTTCCTCATCATGGAGGTGCTGGAAAACCGGTCCTGGGGATCCCAACTTTGTTATGGAGCTTTGGGATCTCCCATCCAAAGGCTTTTAAGGTGGGGTTGAGTGGGGATCGGGAGCCCCTTTGAGCATGAGAGGCCCTGGAACACCGACTCCCAGTATCCCAGTGGATGGAGGCAGGATGTGGACATGGGGGTTTTGCTCATTCCCCACCTTCTCCTGCATCCCTGCTGCGAGGAGCCGCAGGGAAGGACGTTATTCCCGCTTGGAATAAACCCCTTTGGAGGGATCTCATTGGGGATTGAGCTCGGAGTCGGCTCCGGTGGCCTGAAGCTTCTGAGCCCCACCAAGGTTGGACCAAGGCAATTCCCTGACCCGGGATAAGGGAGAAGGCCCAAGGAAGAGGCAGGGTTGGGATGAGCTCCCTGGACGCCCCCTCCCTCCCTGGGTTAGGTCATGGAATCATGGAATGCTGCTCTGTCCTCGGAGCGGGATCAACCCCGGGCATTGAGCCCTGACAATGGGGCCCTTGTGGTGGGGAGGCCCTTCCCCCCCCGGGGCCCGAACCTCAATGGGGCTTTATGAGCCCTTCCCATGGCGTTCCCGGTGTTCCCAGGGGGAGATGGGAGAGGGAGCTGCTCCCAGGAGGAGGCTGTTCCCCAGGGATGTTCCCTGTGCTCTTCCTCCTCCTCCTCTGCTGCTGGTGGTGACCTTTGAGCTCTCCAAGGAGCCGCTTCCTGGTGCCGCTCTTCCCAAGCAGGGCATCACGGAACGATGGAGACGCTGCCTGCATCCCACCCGGGTCCATGGGGATAGCAGGAAGCCGGCAGCTCCCATGGGAGCGGAGGGACCAGGCCCGGGGCCTCAGCCACTTCCCTCCCTTGCCCCGTGCCGCTTCCCGCAGGACCTGTCCTCCCGGTTGGGCAGGAAGCTCCCGTCCCGCTTTTCCAGCCCCAGCAACGCCAGGCACGGGCCATTGGCTCCCAACCCATCCCGTGACGTTCCCACCTGGAATCCCCAGCCGGATGGGAGGCGGTCGGGATCCCCGTGACCTGCATCCCTGCGCTGGATGCTAATGGAAGCATCCCCTTTGGCCCTCGCGTCCCTCTCCCAAGGAGCTCGGCATTCCCGTTTCCTGGCAAACAGCATGGCGCTGCTGGGCAGGGCCACCTGCCCATCCCATTCCCACTTCCGTGCGATTCCATCCCGGAATGCTCTGGGCAGCACCGTTTCCTTGGCCCGTCGGGAATGGGGGGGTGGTGGTGGTTATCCCATCCTTTCCCTTCTGAAGTGGGAATATGGAGCTCTCCCAATGGAAGCTGCTTCCCGGGTTCCTGCGGGGAGGCGGGAGCCGCTCTCCTCTCCCTTAGGGAGCAGGGATGTGCTTCCATCCCTCCCCTTTTCCTTAGGGAGGGATGGGGGGGGGGAGCGTGGCCTTGGGAGCAGGGATCCTTCCCCCTCTCCCACCTCCGGCTGCTGGATCCTATGGAGCTGTGGAGCCAGAGGGGAGCCTTGGATCCCAGCTCCTTGCATCCCAATTCCCGCTTTTCCAATTCCTCCTAGGGATTTCCTGCCCCGCGGCTCTGGCATCGTCACCCGGCGGCCCCTCATCCTGCAGCTCATCTTCTCCAAGACAGGTCTGGACCCTGGGACGGGCTTGGATGGGAAGAGGTTGGGATGCCCCCTCCCTGGCGGCATTCCGGTGCCCCCCTGCCCATTCCAGAGGGCTGGAACCGGGCTGCGCTTTCAGGTCCTTCGCCATCCATTCCGGGATGCCAGGCCCTTGGCCGTGTCCTCTCGGGGGCTCCCCGTGGCCACGTTGCCGTTACCCCCGTTGTTCCCATCCCGGTTTTCCCGTTCTTTCCCAGAATACGCCGAATTCCTGCACTGCAAATCCAAGAAATTCACAGATTTCGACGAGGTGCGGCAGGAAATCGAGGCGGAAACCGACCGGGTGACGGGGACCAACAAAGGCATCTCCCCCATCCCCATCAACCTCCGCGTGTACTCCCCGCACGGTGAGCGGCCCTCGGCCCTGCTTCCAGGCGCCGGGAATGGCGGCATTCCCACCTTCCTTCACCGCGGCCTCCTTTCCCGTGCCAGTGTTGAACCTGACCCTCATCGACCTCCCGGGCATCACCAAGGTGCCCGTCGGGGACCAGCCGCAGGACATCGAGTACCAGATCAAGGACATGATCCTGCAGTTCATCAGCAGGGAGAGCAGCCTCATCCTCGCCGTCACGCCGGCCAACATGGATCTGGCCAACTCGGATGCGCTCAAGATGGCCAAGGAAGTCGATCCGCAAGGTAAAAGGGTTGGGGTGGGGGGGGGGATGCATCCTCACGCTCCTGATCCAATGGGATGGAGCAGGGAGCCTCACCGGGGCCTCGTTTTCCATGGGGTCGCATCAGGCTTGAGGACCATCGGCGTCATCACCAAGCTGGATCTCATGGATGAAGGCACGGATGCCAGGGATGTGCTGGAGAACAAGCTGCTTCCTCTCCGGAGAGGTACCACTTTGGGATCCAACCCCCAGGCTCCTCCAGTCAGGGGGAACGTCATGGAATGGGGTTGGGAAGGATCAGTTCCAACCTGCTGGAACGCCGAGGGGCACCTTCCACTGGAGGGGGTCGATGCACACACCTTGGACACTGCCAGGGATGGGGCATCCCAACCTTCTCCCTTCATCCCAGTGTCCCAGCATCCTTGTATCCAACCTGCACTTGTCCTGTCCATGATAAAGATTCCCCATCCTTGGAGTCCCCTTCAGACCCTGCGGCCTCCCCACAGCTTCTCCTGAACCTCCCCAACCAACTCCATCCCCTTCCTCATCCTCTTTTCCATCCCCTTCCATTGCCACCCCCCCCCCCCCCCCCAGCCCCAGATCTGCTTCCCAAAGGGAAGCTCTGGAACGGGACCCACCGTTTCCCATTGCAGGCTACATCGGGGTGGTCAACCGGAGCCAGAAGGACATCGATGGCAAGAAGGACATCAGGGCCGCGCTGGCGGCCGAGCGCAAGTTCTTCCTCTCCCACCCCGCTTACCGGCACATGGCCGACCGCATGGGCACCCCACACCTCCAGAAGGTCCTGAACCAGGTTGGGATGGGCTCCTCCGTGGCGCTGGCAACGGGGCAGGGAGCAGCACCGGCCCTGGGGCTGTCGGTAACGGCCGTTGTCGCGCAGCAATTGACCAACCACATCCGGGAGACGCTGCCTTCCCTACGGAGCAAGCTCCAGAGCCAGCTCCTATCCCTGGAAAAGGAGGTGGAGGAGTACAAGAACTTCCGGCCCGATGATCCCACGCGGAAAACCAAAGCGCTGCTGCAGTAAGGTTCCTCTTAGGGCCCCAGCCGGGTTGGACCCATCCCTTGAAGCCATGGCAACAAAGGGATGCTCCAAAGCCCTTCCAGTGAGGAAACAGGAGAGCTTCCCATAGCGTCATGGAATGGGGTGGGAAGGAGCTCATCCCCCCAGGCTGGGATGGAGCCCATCCCGGCGTCCTCACGCCCTCTTTCCCATAGGATGGTCCAGCAGTTCGGGGTGGACTTTGAGAAGCGGATCGAGGGCTCCGGGGACCAGGTGGACACGCTGGAGCTCTCCGGTGGCGCCAGGATCAACCGCATCTTCCACGAGAGGTTCCCCTTCGAGCTCGTGAAGGTAAATCCCGGCTGGAAGCGCCGGCACGGGCTCGGGAATGGCCTGGGGCTCAACCCCATTCCCTGGGCCTCTTCCTGCTCCTTCAGATGGAGTTTGACGAGAAGGATTTGAGGCGGGAGATCAGCTACGCCATCAAGAACATCCATGGAGTGAGGCAAGTGCGGGAGCAGCCATTCCAAAGGGATTGATGGCGATGGAGCAGGGCTGCTTGGCTCCGATGCCCCAGAGCACTTCGTTCCCATTTCCATGCAGCTCTGCCGTGCCTTCGCGGGGCTGGGCTTAGCGCCTCCATCCCAAGGGATCGCTCCCGATGCCCACTTTTGGTGTCTCCCATAGGACGGGGCTCTTCACCCCGGACCTGGCCTTCGAGGCCATCGTGAAGAAGCAAGTGGTGAAGCTCAAGGAGCCGTGCCTCAAGTGCGTGGACCTCGTCATCCAGGAGCTCATCAACACGGTCCGGCAGTGCACCAGTAAGGTACTGAGCCCATCCCAGCCCCTTCCCGCCCCTGGCATCGGGAATGATCCCCTGGCTCCACCCGGGAGCGCTTGGAATCGAGGCTGCATCACCCCAGCCTCCCACCCTGCCATTGCCCTCCGTATCCATGGATGTTTTCCATCGCCCGGGAGCTGCTGTTTCCATGGATAACATCCAGCTCCTTGGAATGGCCCCAAACCTCGTCCCTCAAGATGCCTTAAACTGGGACAAGCGCCTGGGTTACTGGGAATGGGGCGCATCCAGGCGAGGAGGCGACGGGATCCAAGGGGGTGCGGGCACAGCTTGCTCCCGTGGGCCAGGACAGCGCTTCCCAATGGGATTCCTTCCCTCCATCTCCAGGATGGATGCTCCAGGGATGGGTTGGAATCTGGTGGTGGAGAGGAGCCCACTTCACTTGGGGGTCATTGGTGGGGGGGGGGAACGGGGCACCGCATCCTCCTGGCACCGGGATGCGCATCGGGAATGCCGGCGCATGGGGCGGTGGTGGCAGCACAAGGGCTTGGCTCAGGTGCTCCCAAAGCTCCGTGTCCTCGGCTACGGGCCCACAGAGACTTTTCCTTTCCTTCCTTTTCCTTGGATCTTCTCCCTTTCCTTCCTTTTCCTTGGGTCTTTTCCCTTTCCTTCCTTTTTCCTTGGATCTTTTCCCTTTCCTTCCTTTTCCTTGGGTTTTTTCCCTTTCCTTCCTTTTTCCTTGGATCTTTTCCCTTTCCTTCCTTTTTCCTTGGGTCTTTTCCCTTTCCTTCCTTTTCCTTGGATCTTTTCCCTTTCTTTCCTTTTTCCTTGGGTCTTTTCCCTTTCCTTCCTTTTCCTTGGATCTTTTCCCTTTCTTTCCTTTTCCTTGGATCTTTTCCCTTTCCTTCCTTTTCCTTGGATCTTTTCCCTTTCCTTCCTTTTCCTTGGATCTTTTCCCTTTCCTTCCTTTTTCCTTGGATCTTTTCCCTTTCCTTCCTTTGTCCTTGGATCTTTTCCCTTTCCTTCCTTTGTCCTTGGATCTTTTCCCTTTCCTTCCTTTTTCCTTGGATCTTTTCCCTTTCCTTCCTTTTCCTTGGATCTTTTCCCTTTCCTTCCTTTTCCTTGGGTCTTTTCCCTTTCCTTCCTTTTCCTTGGGTCTTTTCCCTTTCCTTCCTTTTCCTTGGGTCTTTTCCTTCCTTTTCCTTGGGTCTTTTCCCTTTCCTTCCTTTTCCTTGGATCTTTTCCCTTTCCTTCGTTTTCCTTGGGTCTTTTCCCTTTCCTTCCTTTTCCTTGGATCTTTCCCCTTTCCTTCCTTTTCCTTGGATCTTTCCCCTTTCCTTCCTTTTCCTTGGATCTTTTCCCTTTCCTTCCTTTTTCCTTGGATCTTTTCCCTTTCTTTCGTTTTCCTTGGGTCTTTTCCCTTTCCTTCCTTTTCCTTGGATCTTTCCCCTTTCCTTCCTTTTTCCTTGGGTCTTTTCCCTTTCCTTCCTTTTCCTTGGATCTTTCCCCTTTACTTCCTTTTCCTTGGATCTTTTCCCTTTCCTTCCTTTGTCCTTGGATCTTTTCCCTTTCCTTCCTTTTCCTTGGATCTTTTCCCTTTCCTTCCTTTTCCTTGGGTCTTTTCCCTTTCCTTCCTTTTCCTTGGATCTTTCCCCTTTCCTTCCTTTTCCTTGGATCTTTCCCCTTTCCTTCCTTTTCCTTGGATCTTTTCCCTTTCCTTCCTTTTCCTTGGATCTTTTCCCTTTCCTTCCTTTTCCTTGGATCTTTCCCCTTTCCTTCCTTTTCCTTGGATCTTTTCCCTTTCCTTCCTTTTCCTTGGATCTTTCCCCTTTCCTTCCTTTTCCTTGGATCTTTTCCCTTTCCTTCCTTTTTCCTTGGATCTTTTCCCTTTCTTTCGTTTTCCTTGGGTCTTTTCCCTTTCCTTCCTTTTCCTTGGATCTTTCCCCTTTCCTTCCTTTTCCTTGGATCTTTTCCCTTTCCTTCCTTTTCCTTGGGTCTTTTCCCTTTCCTTCCTTTTCCTTGGATCTTTTCCCTTTCCTTCCTTTTCCTTGGATCTTTTCCCTTTCCTTCCTTTTCCTTGGATCTTTTCCCTTCCTTTTCCTTGGATCTTTCCCTTTGCTTTCAGCTCGGCTCCTACCCCAGGTTACGGGAGGAGACGGAACGCATCGTCACCACCCACATCCGGGAGCGGGAGGGCAGGACCAAGGACCAGGTGAGGCCCGGCACCCATCCTGCCGCTTGCCCAAGCTCCCTCTTGGTGCTGGGCCAACTTCCTTCCCCCTCTTCCCAGATCCTGCTGCTCATCGACATCGAGCTCTCCTACATCAACACCAACCACGAGGACTTCATTGGCTTCGCCAAGTGAGTCCATTCCCGGCGGGATACATCCTGAGCTGCTTTAGAAGTGAGGTTCCTGGTGCTGCCCATGCCTCACCCCCCCCCCCCCCCCATCCCATCCATCCCATCCCATCCCAGGGAAACTGCCCCGGGAGCCTCCTGCATCCCGTCAATCCCACAGCGGCCCCTTTGGATGTGGGATGCGGGAGCTCCCATCCCCTTGCTCAGCCCCCCCGCACACTGGGAATTGGAGGGGAGGCGGAATAACTCCTCCTGTCCCAACGGAGCAAAGCATCTCCCATCCTTTGGAGCTCTTCCCAGGATCAGGATCAGGATCAGGAGGGGGGAGCGCTCCTCTTGGCCTTGCCTTGCTTTGGGCCATGGGCGCAGCCCCAATCCATGCATCCGGAAGCATCCGGGGCTCCGGCCTTGGTGTCCCTGGATCCCTGCTGGAGCTGGTCCCCCCTTTTCCCATCTCACGCCGGCTTCCTCTTGTTCTTCTCTTTCTTCCCCCCCTTTTCCGTTGTCTTTCCTCCACAATTCCCTCCTCTCTCTTCCTAATCTCTCCTGTTTTTCCTTGGAACCATCTCCCTCTTCCCTATGGATTCCTCCGACTCTCTTCCCACTCCCCAGCTGTTACACAGAGCAGCACGTCACGACCGGGTGGGTACCTGCTCCTGCAGCATGGCCCTGCTCACTCCATGTGTGTGTCCCGACCCCCCCAGCCCCGATCCCACAGGGATCTTTGGGAAGAGCCGGGGAGCTCCTCCTCCCACATTTCCCATTGGATTTGGATGGGGACTGGAGCTCATCCCATCGGGATGCTACGGCGCAGGGATGGCTTCCACCAAGCGTGCTGTGCATCCCCCCCCTTCCCGTATCCCAAGGTTTGAGGGCCGGAATTCCCTGCCTTTGGAAGTGGGGAGAGGAGGCAGGAAAGGGCCCCCCTCTTTTGTGCTTGTAACTGCTGCTCCGTGGGGAATGCCGGCGTTATCCTAACTGTTCCTCCCGGATTTTGTCCCCCCGCTCCCGACTTAACGGTTCCATCCCGCACCTTTGGTTGCTCAGGAGAGACAGGTAGCTTCCCCTCCGGTGCTCGTTTTCCAACTGGGAAGGGAACTGGGAATTGCTGGAGACCAGGAAGCCTTACTGGTGCTGGGCCTTGCGGTGGAAGGGGCTGCGGCAGGAATCTCCCTTGGGAATGGGAGATTCTCTTCTGGTTGCATTGCACGCAACGGGCTTCCCCTTCGGACTCGGCTCTTCCTTACGGCATTCCGGCTGGGAATACGCGGTCCAGGGGGGGCTTGGCTTTGATCCCCCCCCCCCCCTTAAGGCTCCTTCTTCTCTTGCCCGCAGCGCCCAGCAGCGGAACACCCAGGCCAACAAGAAAAGGGCCATTCCCAACCAGGTACGGATCCCTCGGGAAGCGGGAGCCCCGCTCCTCCCTCACCCCCTTCCTTAGGGAATCGTGGGGATGGAGACGGCGGGGGTGGGGGGAACAGTGGCTCCCAGCTCCGGGCTGGGAATGCCAGGAATGTGGTGGGACATTAACACTGCAATGATCATTAATGGCATGTCCCTGGTTTTCTTTTGCTGTTTTCCTGCGTTTTTGTGCTCTTCCCTCCATCCTTCCCGTTTTTTCCTTCACTTTTCCATCTCCTTTTCCCACTTTTTCTTTGCCTCCCCCCCCCCCCCGTTTAATTTTGTGCCCTAAAGGGGGAGATACTGGTAAGTACCCACATAGCAATGGTAGAGACCCCGGTGGCGGCCGTTCTTCCTGCCGGGAAAACCTCTTCCCAATCCCAAAGGACGCCTCCCAGCTCCCCGGGATTGAGCACGGGGCGGACGGGATAACCCCATGGTCTGATCCCGGAGCTGGGAATTCCCTCATGCCCACAGCCAAGGGGCTTGGAAAGGTGGAAGCCGAAGGGGGGAGCGGGGGGGGGGGTTATCCATGAGATTCCATAGGCAGCCATGGGAGAGGCTCTGCTGCCGCGTGCTCATCCCAGGGAGTTCCTTCCCTATGGAAAAGGGATACCCTTGGAGCCGGCCTCTGAGGAGATGGAAGTGTCCGAGAGGGAAAACCGATCCCCAAATCCATCCAGTTTGGGTGTTCCGGCTCCGGAATCACTGGGCAGGGGTTGCTCAGGAGCCTGGATCAATCCCTAGGGAAGGGAACTGGGAAAACCGGGATCCGGCACCCATCCCGCTCCTCCCGGAAGGCTTTGCCGTTGGAGCCCATGGTGGGGTGGCTGGGAGGGCTCCGGGCCCAATTCCCGGCTCTTCGGACGCTTCCATTTCCTCCTGGCCCCATCCCCATGTTTTTCCCAATGCAGAGGGGCCCCCAGGCCCCAGATCCAGGCGATGGGAAGGGGGAGATGGGATAATTGGGCATTCCAGGGCTCCCCTTGGAGCCACTCCCGGGCACGTTGCCCCATCCCCATCCCGTTGGAGAAATCCCTGATGCCAGTTGGTGTTAAAGGAATGTGCTGCCCCCTCCCTCCATCCCTGACCCCTCCCTCCATCCCTGCCCCCTTCCCGCATCCCTGCTCCCGCATCCCTGCTCCCTTCCCGCATCCCTGCTCCCTCCATCCCTGCCCCCTTCCCGCATCCCTGCTCCTGCATCCCTGCCCCTTCCCTCCATCCCTGCCCCCTTCCCTCCATCCCTGCCCCCTCCCTCCATCCCTGCCCCCTCCCTCCATCCCTGCCCCCTCCCTCCCTCCCTGCCCCCTTCCCTCCATCCCTGCCCCCTTCCCGCATCCCTGCCCCCTTCCCGCATCCCTGCCCCCTTCCCGCATCCCTGCCCCCTTCCCGCATCCCTGCTCCCTTCCCGCATCCCTGCTCCCTCCATCCCTGCCCCCTTCCCGCATCCCTGCTCCCCCCCATCCCTGCTCCCCCCATCCCTGCTCCCCCCCATCCCTGCTCCCGCATCCCTGCTCCCTTCCCGCATCCCTGCTCCCTTCCCGCATCCCTGCCCCCTTCCCGCATCCCTGCTCCCTTCCCGCATCCCTGCCCCCTTCCCGCATCCCTGCCCCCTTCCCGCATCCCTGCCCCCTTCCCGCATCCCTGCTCCCTTCCCTCCATCCCTGCCCCCTTCCCGCATCCCTGCTCCCGCATCCCTGCCCCCTTCCCGCATCCCTGCCCCCTTCCCGCATCCCTGCCCCCTTCCCGCATCCCTGCCCCCTTCCCGCATCCCTGCTCCCTTCCCGCATCCCTGCTCCCCCCGTCCCTGCTCCCCCCGTCCCTGCTCCCCCCGTCCCTGCTCCCCCCGTCCCTGCTCCCGCTGTCCCTGCTCCCCTGTCCCTGCTCCGCCCGTCCCTCCTGCCCCCTTCCCGCATCCCTGCTCCCTTCCCGCATCCCTGCCCCCTTCCCGCATCCCCGCTCCCCCCCATCCCTGCTCCCCCCCATCCCTGCTCCCCCCATCCCTGCTCCCCCCCATCCCTGCTCCCCCCATCCCCGCTCCCCCCATCCCCGCTCCCCCCATCCCCGCTCCCCCCATCCCCGCTCCCCCCATCCCCGCTCCCCCCATCCCCGCTCCCCCCATCCCCGCTCCCCCCATCCCCGCTTCCCCCATCCCCGCTTCCCCCATCCCTGCTCCCCCCATCCCTGCTCCCCCCATCCCTGCTCCCCCCCATCCCTGCTCCCCCCATCCCTGCTCCCTTCCCGCATCCCAGCTCCATCCCATTCCTGGATCCTTTAAAACCAGACTCGGTTCAGCACAAGGTGATCCCTTCACTTGAAGGTGGAATTCCCGGGCTCCTCCTTCCCCTCTCCACAACATTCCCATTATCCCAGGCTCCATGCCTGGAGTGGGGGGCTCAGATCCGCCCCCCTCCCCATTACTAACCTGTGTGTGGTACTAACCTGAGCTCAAGCATCCCATAACTCGGGACAGGGACTGGGAACATGGATTTGAATGGGGGGGGGAGGGGGTCGGTGCCATTCCCGACTTGGCTGGAATCTCTCCTGGAATTCCAGGATGCCGGCATCTCTCCCATGGGTTTTGCCGGTGCAGAGGGGTGATGGCGAGAAGAGGGAGAGCCACGGCTCCGAGTCCCCTTCCCTCCATCCCATGGCTCCCAGCCCCATGGGATCCATGGAAAACTCCCGGCAGAGGCAGTGCTGTTGCCTTGGGAATGCCGGGATGCTCCTTGGTGCTCCCTGCAGCTTCCTTCTCCCCCCCCCTGCCCTGGGATCCCGGTTGGGATAGGGCCTGGAATGCTCCCTCATGCTTCCCATCCCCTGCTCATGGGAGTTGCCATGGATGCAGGATAACAGCTCCCTGGTGGGATGTGCTTTGGGAACGAAGGTTGGGGCTTCCCTGCAGGATCCAGGCGGGCTCGGGAGCACTTTTCCATGTGGGAATGCTGTGCAGGAGCCTGTAACCATTCCTTCCTTCCCCCCCCCACTGCATCCTGTGCCTGCAGGTGATCCGTAGGGGCTGGCTCACCATCAACAACATCAGCATCATGAAGGGAGGATCCAAGGAATACTGGTTCGTGCTGACGGCGGAATCCTTATCCTGGTACAAGGATGAGGAGGTGCGTGCCGGGAAGGATGGGTTTTGGGAAGGGGGGGCCGGGGAGATCCCATGGGATCAGCTGCATCCTGCCTCTTCCAGGGTCCGGGGGGGGCACTGTGGCTCCCATCAAGAGGGATCCAGGGCTCCCTGTGTCCCCATCCTTCCCCACCCCGGCTGGGATGGATGCCGGTTGGTGGAAATCCGGGATCCAAGGGAAAAGCCCATCTCTGCCCCCATGGGTGCGTTGTCACCCTGCCATTCCCTGCGGGAAGGCCACCGTGTCCTGCACAGTTCCCTTGGGATTGAAATCCCTGCACCAGGATCCAGCCGGGGGGGAAAGGTCTGGAAACCACCAGGCACTGACACCCCATGAGGGCACAGGGAATGAGCCCCATTCCCTCCATCCCGGGCTTTTGGTGTGCCAGGAGCCCGCTGCTCCCCCAGGATCCCTTTATCCCATGGGATTTGCTGCCTCAGCCCTTGGGTACCACCACACCAGCCCATGGAGATGGAAACAGCCTTTATTTCCTGGGAGCCAGATTTGAGCCTCTTTTCCCTTTATACCCCCCACCATTCCCTATGGAAATCCACTTCCTAAAGGAGAAGGGAATGTGTTGAGGTGGTGGAGCCGGAATAACCCCCCCATTCCAGCTCTAATGAGCACCAGCCCTGGGATGGATGAGGCTCTGTGGGGCTCTGCCGACCCGGATCCCATCCAGCGCCTGGCTCCTTCTCCCCCCCCATCCCACCTCATCCCAGCTCCACGAACGGAGCAAAATCCATTGGATTTGCCTCCAAAAAGGAGGGATTTGGGATGTGTCCGTGTCGTGTCCCCCCCCCAATTCCATTGCTTACCTGGGTACCGGTGATGCCGCAAGGCCGGATCCGATCTAACCAATGTGCAGACTACTGTACAACGGGGAAGCATCCTGAACAGGTAGTCTGAACACTGGGCAGGCCGGGCCGGAATTCCAGCTGGGATTTGGGATCCGTTTGCCTTCATCCCGGCTCCGTTCCTTCCCCCTTTCCCGGCGGCGGCCGCTTTGTCTCCCTTCTGACGTGGCACAGTCCTCGTGCAGCCCAATCCAGGCTGGGGAAGGAGAATTCCAGCCCCTTCCCTTCCCTTCCTTTGGATTTGGGGCAGGAAATGGGGCGGTGCCGGGGGCCCCTCGGTGCCTCCGCTCCACATCTGGCGCCGGGCTCCTTCCTAACCCGTTCCAGATGTGCCGCATCCCAGCTCCAGCCCCATCCCGGGCTCCTGGGGGAGCGCGAGGCACCGCATCCCGTCCGAGGGAAGGCGGGATCCGGGCAGGGATTCGGGGGCTGTGATCCAGCTCCATCCCAAGCATCCCGAAAGTGCCTGTTCCCGATGGGAAATGAAGGAAGGGGCTGCTCCGAGGGTCGGGATTTCATACCCCCCCCCCCATTCCCATTCCCATCTTTCTTTCCCAGGAGAAGGAGAAGAAATACATGTTGCCTCTGGATAACTTGAAAATCCGGGATGTGGAGAAGGGCTTCATGTCCAACAAGCACGTCTTCGCCATCTTCAACACGGAGCAGAGGTAGGGGGGCAGGCGGCTGGAATCCCGCCGGGAATGCCGGGATGATGCTCCCGCTCGCTCCTTGCTCCCCAGGAACGTGTACAAGGACCTCCGTCAGATCGAGCTGGCCTGTGATTCCCAGGAGGACGTGGACAGCTGGAAAGCCTCCTTCCTCCGCGCCGGAGTTTATCCGGAGAAAGACCAAGTAAATGCCCCTTTTCCGGGTGGGATGAGGCATCCCAGAGCTGGGAGCACCCCCACACCCCCCCCAGGGGATGCAGATCCTGGTGTTCCCAAGGTGGGGTTTGGATAACCCCATGGGATCACCCCAAGAGGCCCCGTGGTAGCGCGTGCTTCCCGTGGGATAACGGCATCCGTGTGGGATGGGAATGGGGGGGGGGGGGGGATGGTTCCGGGGGCTGATCCCGGTTTTCCCTGCGCAGACGGAGCCGGAGGACGGCGCTCAGGAGAACACGTTTTCCATGGATCCCCAGCTGGAGCGGCAGGTGGAGACCATCCGCAACCTCGTGGATTCCTACGTGGGCATCATCAACAAATCCATCCGGGATCTCATGCCAAAGACCATCATGCACCTCATGATCAACAACGTGAGCGGGGGGGGCAGCCCGGAATTCCCTCCCTTAGCTGCACGGAGGGGAGAGCTGGGAGCAGCGCTGGGATGCGGGCATGGAATGAGGGAATGGGGTTTGGTGGGATGTGGGATGCTTGGAGCAACCTCCTCTTGGGATGCTGTCCCTACCCATAGCCAGGGGTGGGAACCTGCATCCCCATCCCACTGCCCCCATTCCCTCCTTCCATGCCCGTATCCCATCTCCAGACCTGGGAGCAGCTCTGGGATACGGGCATGGAATGAGGGAATGGGGTTTGGTGGGACATGGGATGCGCCATCCCTCAAGGTGAGCTTGGAGCAGCCCCCTCTAGGGATGCTGTCCCTACCCATAGCCAGGGCTGGGAACCTGCATCCCGATCCCACTGCCCTCAATCCATGCCCATATCCCATCTCCAGACCTGGGAGCAGCTCTGGGATACGGGCATGGAATCAGGGAAGGGGATTTGGTGGGACATGGGATGCGCGAGCTTGGAGCAACTTCCTCTAGTGGTGCTATTGGTCCCCATAGCCAGGGGTGGGAACCTGCATCCTGATCCCACCAAATCCCATTCCCTCCTTCCCTGCCTGTATCCCAGAGCTGCTCCCAGGTCTGGAGATGGGAATACGGGCATGGAATGAAGGAATGGGATTTGGTGGGACATGGGATGCACGAGCTTGGAGCAGCCTCCTCTAGGGATGCTGTCGGTACCCATAGCCAGGGGTGGGACCCCGCATCCCGATCCCACCAAATCCCATTCCCTCCTTCCCTGCCCGTATCCCAGAGCTGCTCCCAGGTCTGGAGATGGGATACGGGCATGGAATGAAGGAATGGGGTTTGGTGGGACATGGGATGCGTGCGCTCGGAGCAACCTCCTCTAGGGATGCTATCGGTCCCCATAGCCAGGGGTGGGACCCCGCATCCCGATCCCACCAAATCCCATTCTATCCTTCCCTGCCTGTATCCCAGAGCTGCTCCCAGGTCTGGAGATGGGATATGGGCATGGAATGAGGGAATGGGGTTTGGTGGGACATGGGATAGAGCAACCTCCTCTAGGGATGCTGTCGCTACCCATAGCCAGGGGTGGGACCACACATCCCGATCCCACCAAATCCCATTTCCTCCTTCCCTGCCTGTATCCCAGAGCTGCTCCCAGGTCTGGAGATGGGATACGGGCGTGGAATGAGGGAATGGGGTTTGGTGGGACGTGGGATGCACGAGCTTGGAGCAGCCTCCTCTAGGGATGCTGTCGCTACCCATAGCCAGGGGTGGGAACCTGCATCCTGATACCACCAAATCCCATTCCCTCCTTCCCTGCCCGTATCCCAGAGCTGCTCCCAGGTCTGGAGATGGGATACAGGCATGGAATGAGGGAATGGGGTTTGGTGGGACTGGGAGCAACCTCCTCTAGCTAGCCAGGGGTGGGACCCCTGTATCCCAGAGCTGCTCCCAGGTCTGGAGATGGGATACGGGCGTGGAATGAGGGAATGGGGTTTGGTGGGACATGGGATGGAGCAACCTCCTCTAGGGATGCTATTGGTCCCCATAGCCAGGGGTGGGACCCCGCATCCCAATCCCACCAAATCCCATTCCCTCCTTCCCTGCCTGTATCCCAGAGCTGCTCCCAGGTCTGGAGATGGGATACGGGCATGGAATGAGGGAATGGGGTTTGGTGGGACATGGGATGGAGCAACCTCCTCTAGGGATGCTATCGGTCCCCATAGCCAGGGGTGGGACCCTGCATCCCGACTCCCATCCTCCCGTATCCCAGAGCTGCTCCCAGGTCTGGAGATGGGAATACGGGCATGGAATGAAGGAATGGGGTTTGGTGGGACATGGAATGCGTGCGCTCGGAGCAACCTCCTCTAGGGATGCTATCGGTCCTCATAGCCAGGGGTGGGACCCCGCATCCCAATCCCACCAAATCCCATTCCCTCCTTCCCTGCCTGTATCCCAGAGCTGCTCCCAGGTCTGGAGATGGGAATACGGGCATGGAATGAGGGAATGGGGTTTGGTGGGACATGGGATGGAGCAACCTCCTCTAGGGATGCTATCGGTCCTCATAGCCAGGGGTGGGACCCCGCATCCCGATCCCACCAAATCCCATTCTATCCTTCCCTGCCTGTATCCCAGAGCTGCTCCCAGGTCTGGAGATGGGATACGGGCATGGAATGAGGGAATGGGGTTTGGTGGGACATGGAATGCGTGCGCTCGGAGCAACCTCCTCTAGGGATGTTATTGGTCCCCATAGCTAGGGGTGGGACCCCGCATCCCGATCCCACCAAATCCCATTCCCTCCTTCCCTGCCTGTATCCCAGAGCTGCTCCCAGGTCTGGAGATGGGAATACGGGCATGGAATGAAGGAATGGGATTTGGTGGGACGTGGGATGCACGAGCTTGGAGCAGCCTCCTCTAGTGATGCTATCGGTCCCCATAGCCAGGGGTGGGACCCCGCATCCCGATCCCACCAAATCCCATTCCCTCCTTCCCTGCCCGTATCCCAGAGCTGCTCCCAGGTCTGGAGATGGGATACAGGCATGGAATGAGGGAATGGGGTTTGGTGGGACATGGAATGCGTGTGCTCGGAGCAACCTCCTCTAGGGATGTTATCGGTCCCCATAGCCAGGGGTGGGACCCCGCATCCCGATCCCACCAAATCCCATTCCCTCCTTCCCTGCCTGTATCCCAGAGCTGCTCCCAGGTCTGGAGATTGGATACGGGCATGGAATCAGGGAATGGGGTTTGGTGGGACATGGAATGCGTGTGCTCGGAGCAACCTCCTCTAGGGATGCTATCGGTCCCCATAGCCAGGGGTGGGACCCAGCATCCCAATCCCACCAAATCCCATTCCCTCCTTCCCTGCCCGTATCCCAGAGCTGCTCCCAGGTCTGGAGATGGGAATACGGGCATGGAATGAAGGAATGGGGTTTGGTGGGACATGGGATGGAGCAACCTCCTCTAGGGATGCTATCGGTCCCCATAGCCAGGGGTGGGACCCCGCATCCCGATCCCACCAAATCCCATTCCCTCCTTCCCTGCCCGTCTCCCATCTCCAGACCAAGGACTTCATCCACTCCGAGCTCCTGGCCTACCTTTACTCCTCGGCCGACCAGAGCAGCCTCATGGAGGAGTCGGCGGAGCAGGCGCAGCGCCGCGACGAGATGCTCCGCATGTACCACGCGCTCAAGGAGGCGCTGCACATCATCGGCGACATCAGCACCAGCACCGTGTCCACCCCCGTGCCCCCCCCCGTCGATGATACCTGGCTCCAGAGCGGCCCCTCCGCCCACAGGTCTGCTCCCGTTCCCTGCACCGTTCCCTATGGGAATGCCGGGCTCCCAGCGGGCTCCCAGCATCTCCCTCTTGTCTCTTCTCCGCAGCCCCCCGCCCCAGCGCCGCCCCTCCAGCATCCTGCCCCCGGGCCGGCCCCCGGCCGTGCGGGGCCCCACGCCGGGGCCTCCGCTCATCCCTATCCCTGCCGGGGCTCTTTCCACTCCTTCCTCTTCTTCCTCATCCTCCTCCTCCTCCTCGGCCGCCCCCCCCATCCCATCCCGCCCCGGACCCCAGCTCCTCTTCGCTGCCAACAACGACCCCTTCTCGGCGCCGCCGCAGATCCCGCTGCGCCCGGCCCGCATCCCGCCTGGAATCCCGCCCGGCGTGCCCAGGTAAGA